GTCCGTTCATTAGTGCTGCTCCATTTTTCTTACTCCTTAGTTTTTTTTTTTTTGGCTCGACCTCCCTGGCTCCTTCTAGCTGTTGGGTGCGAATCTCGTTTCATTCCTACCTCTTTTTCAGCGAGTTTTCTACGACAGACTTCACGTCTTCATTCACTCTCCCTCTCCCTCTCTCCGTGCTTGCATTTATACGCCTGGTGTCTCTGCAATTCTCTCTCGTACTGTATTTTTTTTATTCTAGCTTGTGTCTATGTGGACGCATTTGTTATAGTGAATCACTCTACGATTTTCTTTGTTTTTTTCATGATTACAGGAACAGCTGAAGCTACATTTTATCTACGCCGTCAAATTTGGGCTGGGGTTCTCAAAATTGTTAGGTGGGTTTCAGTGCGATTTCGTCAATCTGTACGATTATATGCTTTTCTGGTTCGTATCTTAGGTGTAAAACCCTAATCCTTGTTTGCATGGAGCGGTTGATCATAAGCTATAAAGTTTTTTCATTTTCGATTCATTGATTACTTTTCTACACATATGCTTGATTCCGCCGTAGTGAAGATTAGAGTGAATATGTGATGACAGCTGGCATTCTGTGCTTGAACATCTCTGGAGTTTTTGTTGTCAGGGCTACAGATTCATTAATTTTTCTGAAAGTAACAAACTTTTATGTGATTAATATATAGCTCTTGGGCGTCCTGTGGGGAGATATATAGAATACATCTTTGCATCTTTTTCCAAAAAAAATTAGCGCAGGGTGAAATTCAGGCAACTAACAAGGATACAATGATGTTACACACATTTTATAGTTGTGAATTTGGAGAAGGTTGTACTTGAATAGGGTGGTTGACATCTGGTTTTGAGTTTTGACTTAGGTTGATAACATCATATCAGTTGGAACATGGCTCTTGCAGAATCTGTTGTGATTATTAGTTTAACTAGGCTCGAACCTTCTTTACAAGCATCACATTGTACATTGTCTAAGTTCATGTACAATGGATTGAGCTTTGCCAATGTTAGACTCAATGGTTCACAACATTGATTGCAAGAAATAAAAAATGTGATCAGACTTATCAAAGAATTAATTTGCACACATGGTAAATTGCTTGTGAATGTTGTAACAGATTTACACCCAACTGCACGGAGTTGAATTAGGTACGTACTAGGACTGGAATTTACTATGCATTCAATCAAGTTTATGGTCTTAAAAATGCCTACCCCCAATTAAAAAAACTGATCTGTAAAAGTGACTTTTATGGTGTGATGTTTAGCTAAAGGTACCGTATTAAAAAAGTAAATATGGAGATTTGTTATTAGTCTATTATTATTTTTGTTGTTACTATTACTACTGCTACTATTGCTATAATCATTGGGGTTAGGTTTAACAGGAGAAGCTACACACACAGCCTTCATATCTGTGACCTGACGTATTCAATTTTCATATTAAGTCTTACCAGCAAGGCCACAAGGACCTGGTAAGTTCAAAAGCTATTTAAAAGCTTGTTTAGTAGTTGGTTTTGTACATAGAATTAGATGATGAGTCCTCATCACCATGGAGATTCTAGAGGAGATGAATCTTCTCAACAATAAATGGTGTTACTTGATCCACATATAGATGGTCCCATTTAGTGGGAAAGGTTTGGTTTGGTTTAGTTTAGTTGCTTGTGTTGCATTTCATGGGACCGCATAAACTGTATTTTTTTTTGTTGTTGGTCTGATGCCTTGAGTTTGTCATTGCTTAAGATTCCTCAAGTATCTTCACTATTGCTTCTCTGAAGCCATGCAATGCGTTACAACATCATGCATTGGGAAAAAATGCAGGCCTCCATATTACTTTGTGAAAACAGCATTCAAGTTCATCTATGTCTTGTTTGCATCGAACTTTTTGGTTCTTACTTTCCTGATATGGCAATGCAGGTTGTTCTTGTTGGTTTTTCTTACTAGTTGGAGAGCTTGATATTTTTCTGTCAAATTACCTCACGAAATGGCAGACCCTTTGTTAGATATGGATGCCATTGACTGGACCTCTGAAGATGAGCAAGAAATTGAGGGCATACCTGTAGTGCAGGCAGCTACTGCCAACAATGAGGTACAACTAAAAATCTAAAAGCTTTTAGTGATGAAAAAGTCTATTCATTTTGTGACTTCAAGTCAATGAGTCATTCAACTTTTACTGTGTTTGGGTACCTGTGGGCCTGTGCGTGTTTATTCATTCATCCTCTCATTCTCTGTAAGCTGACTGAGGTATTTGTTAGCTACTCTGTGCAATCTCACTTGATTCATTTCTAATGTCCTCTAAAGTTGTGAGCTAATGTTCTCAAAAGTTGTCAGTTTCAGGAAAACCATCACATTGAAAGATAAAAAAATTCAGTTTTGTTAATTAAGATGAATGATATGGTTGGGCCATTTCTTTTGGAGCTCTAAGTGCATCATAATTGATAATTCACAAAATGAAGCATGTGTTTGTAATGGTACTTTAGATGAAGCCAGTATTTGAAATAAGCATCTAAGATTCCGTCTTTATTTCATTCAGAAGGGAAAGATGAAAAATCATATAACCTTGTTATGAATTCCTGTTTTGGTCCTCAACATATAGTGAAAACTACTTAGAGATCTTGAACTTTTAGTTGTACTATTTGCAGACCTGAAATATTTAATAGTTAAATTTCACTGCCTGCTCAGCATAAGATATGCTCGCTAGTTAATGGTAAAGTACATGTCACAATGTCACCACTCATTAGTTAAATAAGAATGATAAAGTTATTAAGTTAATACATTCATGTGAGATAAAGGTTATCCATTTCATTTCATGATCGGGCACTTCTCATATGGTGTAATTTATTTGTTTGTTAAGTTAATATTTTTCAAATAAAAATTTATGCTGGTTTGTTTTAAATAGAAGAATAACGTAAAACTATAAATAGTGGAAAATCAGAAGCAAAGGTTTCATATTTATTTCTTGTGCCATCTTGGAACCAAAACTTTTCCACTTACAGTTGCAATAAGGTGGAGAAAGTACTACATGTATTTTTTACTCAAGTTCCTATGGAATAATGTTCCACCTCGCCCGCTTGCAATTTCTAATAGTCTACCTAATTTGTTTAGTTAATGAGACCCCCATTTTCATAGTGCAAGATGTTACCTAAGAGTTACTGTTGGAGTGTTATACATATAAGACAATTGATTTTTTCTTCCCAGGATGTTGGTTTCATATATCTTGTTTCTATTTGTTCATTATCATCCACACCTTTATCCCAATTATGAGGGGGTCGGTGTCCTTTTCTTATCACTATAATAAACAGTTTTTGTTTTGTTTTCAAAGGCAAGCTCATCATCAGTTAATCCATGCTCCAAGTTGATTCAGAATTTTGTTGGGATGGGATTTTCTAGAGAATTAGTTGAAAAGGCCATAGAGCAAAATGGTATATGATCATTTATCCTTGAGCAACAATTATTACTACTTTTGAAACTATCATTTGATATCCTTACTTCATGACACAGGAGAAGACTCGGAATCTATATTGGAAACTCTTCTGACGTTCTCGGTTAGTAATTTTCCCTCATTCTAGGAAATTTCTATCCATCTGATTTTGTTCATAAATTATCTATATAAAATAGAAAGCACGGGTTGGCATGAAATGTATCTGTTTTAGATCTTAAGAACTAAGAAGAATGAATGTCTGAAACTTTTAGTATAATTTGCTTTGCTTTCAGTGGTCTTCCTGAATAGTTGCAGGACAAAATCTATTAAGTTTTTGACACATGCTACATTATAAGATCATAAAATAGAGACAAAAGAAAAGATTGAGGAGAGAATATGGCTGTTTGATTTTCCCAAAAATGGTCGATTGATATTATTTTAATTTGATTTCAATTCCATCATTAGCTTGTGTTTATTTTTAATTGATATGTCAGGATTCCTTTCTTTCTAAAATAAAATCGGGAAGATCTTAAATATTACAAACTCAGAAATAAGCGATTGGCTAAAATACGGAAAGCTAAACAGTAGAAAACAACTAGGTTAATGAAAGCTAATTACATGTAAACTAGGATAACTTGTGGTCCAATTAATTAGGCCCTTTACCTCTCGCTTGTATACACTACTATACACCGTCAAAGTGCCCTTTATCATTAAATTCTTAGATACTTCAAGAAGATGAGGATCGCTGACACTTTGTTATTATTGCAATCACCGAGTGCCAAAATCAATTTTTCACACTTGAGCCAACAATCAGACGGCTTTCAATTTCTTGTCATGTTCACTCTATGGCGTCAATTCTGCATCGATGAAGCCTCAGACAATTTTTCATATTGTCTGGTGAAAGAGACCCAAATGGGAAAGGAGTGGAGGCCTGGAGTTGTACGATACTATGGAGAGAGGAAGAAAGAGAAATTAAGAAAGAAAGAGTAAAGCAAATAGAAAAGAAAAAGTAAAAAATGGAAAACAGTAAAAAATGCCAATAGCACCCAAAAGCACAACCACAACGAGATTGCATTGGTATTTTGGCACAAGTTCTCAAGTCAAACTGCTTGGCACGTTTCAGCAATGATCCTTCCGCAGGTTCACCTACGGAAACCTTGTTACGACTTCTCCTTCCTCTAAATGATAAGGTTCAGTGGACTTCTCGCAACGTCGAAGGCAGCGAACCGCCCACGTCGCCACGATCCGAGCACTTCACTTGATCATTCAATCGGTAGGAGCGACGGGCGGTGTGTACAAAGGGCAGGGACGTAGTCAACGCGAGCTGATGACTCGCGCTTACTAGGAATTCCTCGTTGAAGACCAACAATTGCAATGATCTATCCCCATCACGATGAAATTTCAAAGATTACCCGGGCCTATCGGCCAAGGCTATATGCTCGTTGAATACATCAGTGTAGCGCGCGTGCGGACCAGAACATCTAAGGGCATCACAAACCTGTTATTGCCTCAAACTTCCGTGGCCTAAAAGGCCGTAGTCCCTCTAAGAAGCTGGCCACGAAGGGATACCTCCGCATAGCTAATTAGCAGGCTGAGGTCTCGTTCGTTAACAGAATTAACCAGACAAATCACTCCACCAACTAAGAACGGCCATGCACCACCACCCATAGAATCTCAAAGCCAATTTGGCAACCAGAAATTCCAGCTTAGCTGGTTGTGAGGTTACCCTTGCATAGGAGAGGTCTCGTGTTCGAGTCCCACTAGCACCAGTGGTACTATGCTCCCCCAAAAAACCCTTCAAGTGGTAGGGTCAAGCGATGTATACTAACCCGTAGGGCCAAGCCAAAGTTGGGTTTCTGGGGTAAGGGGCCGTGAAAGCGGTGGAGCTAGTCACTATAAAAAGTTTACCCATACCTTAGTTTTTAATTTTGAAACCAGCTCCTGAGCGCCAAGATCAGGAAAAGTTGAGAGCTTCTCTCTCCTGGGGTTTTTCGCCCAGCTCTTTTCCGATGAGAACTCTGCGCTGTGATTTATTTTCGGATTTTGATGTATGTTAATCTTGTGTTTCTTGGTCGGATGTCTCTTCTAACCCAATTTCTTCCTTGAATTTGGTTTTGCAAGTCGATTGATGGCCGGAAAACTCAGGTTTTGAGGTTTACAAGTTCGTCGTTTTACTGTTCATGCACCTGGTATTGGCTCGATTCGAGGCTGTTCTTCTTCGTTGACGATTATTCTGAACCGGTTCCTTCCCCTACTGCTTATTCCGACCTCGGATTCAAGCCTGGACGAAAAAATACGGTTAAAATAATACTAACGAAGGTTTTGCGGCACCTGTTCATACGCGTTTGTTCAGACGCGTAAATCGATTTCTGAATCTGTTTTGTGGCTTTTACCGTTGCTAACTGTTTGTACCTGGGTCAGATTCTTCTAATCCCGTCCTGAATTGGTGATAAACGTAGCTTGTAACTATGCGAATTTTCCCCAGTACAGGGGCTGCGAACAGTCTGCTATGAGTACCAAGAAGATGCAGGGGCCGGTCACGAGGTCCAGTTTCGCGGTGCTAGAAGATTCGGATGGTGATTTTCCAGCTCTGCTGGCCGGTGCTACTGCGAAGAAGAACAGGAGAGTTGCAGCTTCTGCTGCGGTTAAGCCACCTGCGGGTATTGATATACATGTGGCTAAAACCCCTGCTGCAATAACTGCAATAACCCCTGCGGTTAAGGCACCTGCTCTGACAATGAATGCGGATGACCCCAATAAGACAGTAAAGGAGGCTAAGGGAGGGAACCCTGCTGCGGTAGTAAATGAAGGTGGACAGCAGTTTGACAAATCAACGGCACGTGCAGCAACCCCCGAACCTTGGAATGCTCTGTTTAAAGACAACCGCGACCCTCGGCATGGCATCAAATTGAGGTATGTACCTCCTAAAGGCGAAACTTTGGATTTTGGTGATCGTATTTTACCTTCCATGGTTGAAATGTGGGGTTATTGCTTAGTTGGACACTTCACCGGGAAATTCCCCGGACTCAAAGCGGTTCATGATCTTAAAGCTTCATGGGGTGTTAAATGCCTTGTGAGGTCCCACAAAAAGGGTTGGATGATTTTTAAGTTTCAAAATGAGGAGGAATCAGGATAGATCTAAAGTACTACATGGAGGACCATACACCGTGTTTGGGAAACTCCTTATGCTTAAGGAACTTTCGGAAAATTTTTCTTTTGAGAATGAAGAGTTTCTAAAAGTACCGATTTGGGTTAAGTTCCATGATCTACCTATGCAACTATGGAATGATGAGGCCATGAGTGAGGTAGCGTCCATGGTTGGGGTTTCAATAACTACAGATAAAATCACCCAAGAGAGGATTAACAATGATTATGCTAGAGTTTTGATAGAGGTTGACATCTCGAAGCCACCGCCACTCTCGTTTCCTATACGACTACCTTCCCAAAAGGTATTTAAGCAAAGTGTGGTTTATGAAACTTTTCCTAGTTATTGTTTTCATTGCAAAGATTTTGGGCATCACCCATTTATATGTAAAAAGCTAGCCAAACGGGATGATGGGGAAAATTGTGGTAAGGGAAAAGAGAATGAGCAAGGTAATGAGCAAGGAAATGGGAAGAGGGACAAAGCAGGGACTGCTAACATTTCGCCAGGAGCTGAAGTTGTTGTCCAGGCCACTGCTGCGGCTGTCTGCCCGACCGGGCTTCTCCCTGACCCGACCGGGTATAATGGACAGACTGCTGCCATGGTTGATGAAGGTGTCCAGAGAGCCGCTGTGACTATTCCAACTGCCCAGGGACATTCCAAAGCTGCTGATAATGACCTTGAGCTTGCAGGGGAAGATATTGAAAGGTGTGTGGTGGAAGAAAAAGATTTGAAGCTAAATGATGTGGTTATCAAATGTGAGGTACTAAACGGTAAGACATTCAAGTTGGCTGTCAAACCGTTTAGATTTGTCCATGCGAGCGTGATTCGAGTTGATACTTCTCTTAGACTTACAGATGATTTGGATAAAAAGGGACTTACCTTCACCGCCAAATGCCTCGAGGGGATGCCGGGAGTTGCTAAAAAGAGAGGGGAGATTTGCTTTGACTCAAAGTTTTCTACTCCTTTCCGAGCTTTCTTTGGAGTTTAAATTAGGGATACCTAATTTTTTTTGTTGAGCTAGTTTGATTTTGATTTGAACCATATTTTATATTTGGGTTCGGACAGTTGACTTGGGCGGGAGTGAATCTTGATTTTGTGGTATCCTATGTACTAGGATATGCACTTTGCTTTAACATTGACTTGTTATTTTCTTGGGTGTTAATATATATTTACATTTCATCCAAAAAAAATCGAAAGCCAATTTGGCTATTTTTTAACACTTCGTGGACTGGATTGATTCATTTTGAAGTATGTGTATTGAGATATGTAATAATGGAGTATTAATTAATACTCCCTCCGTCCCGAAATAAACGTCTCGTTTGACTTTTCAAGGTTATTAAGAAAAGTGGAATTTTGTAAATGAAATTCCTATAATGCCCTTGAGTTTAATTCTGGGAAGGCGTTGGACTTGCGGCTAATGTACAGTACATCCGTATAAAGCAAAAAGGTATGTACGGTCTAAAGCAAAAGCAAGAAATGATTGATTTATTTTACAACTCCCAAATCCACACATACATTCGTTGCTACAGTAGTTCATCCGAACACAAATTAGAAAAATCTTCCAATAACAACTAAGCTACAAAATGGAGGGAAATTTTAACTTCCCCCCAATTTTTTTACTCCTTTACACTACATAACAATCCACAACAGTCCAACGTAGGCTTTATGTCTGCACCAGGCCTTTATTTCTCTTCTACCTTCCTCTCCCCTCACGTGTGGAAGACCTTTCCACATGGAAGCTACAACACATAATACTACAAATAACCAAGAAATTGTGTTATTCAATGCACATGAGCCATCAACAGATGAAATAAATGCAGATGCGGCAGGAAAGAGAAGGAAACATTTGAGTAAAGCAGAAAGGGACATGATAGTCCAAAAACTTGTGCTCACAATAAAAAAAGGGACTGCTACAACAACTACTCAGGTTCAGAGAGGCTTAATCAGCAAACTTGCTGTGGAGTTCAATGTAACAAGAAGAACTGTGAGCAGAATCTGGAACATGGCAAAGAAGCAAATACAGTTGGAGCTGCCTATAGATGTGCTAAGCCAGATGACAGGTAAAGTGGGAAGGAAAAGCATACACTATGATGATGATTTAATTCTAGGCATCCCTTTACACAAAAGAACAACCATCAGGTCTCTGGGTTTGGCCTTAGGGTTGTCCAAGAACATAGCACATAGACTGGTTCAGAAAGGTAGGGTTAGAAGTCATACAAATGCCATTAAGCCACTACTGAATGATGGGAATAAACTGAAGAGGATGGAGTTCTGTCTAAAACAGCTCCAACCATACTCTATTCCCAACAATCCCAGGTTTCAGGAATTCTCAAATGTTATTCATATTGATGAAAAATGGTTTTTCATGACAAATACAACACAAAGGTTTTATTTGGGTGCCCAAGAACAAGATCCATACAGGTTTTGCAAATAAAAAAGATTCATTACAAAAATCATGTTTATGTGTGTTGTAGGCAGACCAGGGATGGAAAAATTGGAATTTTCCCCTTCACAGAAAGTAAGCCAGCACAAAGAAAGTCAAAGAATAGGGATGCAGGGGTATTGGAGACTAAGCAACTTAACCGTATTACCAAAACAGTTGTTAAAGACATGTTAATCCATCAGATTATCCCTACTATTAAGCAGAAGTGGCCACAGTTTGGTAACAAACACATCATCATACAACAAGATAATGCTATACCCCACATTGATGGGAATGATGATGAGTTTGGATTGGCAGCCACATCAGACAACTTCATAATAGAGTTAGTCAATCAACCTCCTAATTCCCCTGACCTTAACATTCTTGACTTGGGGTTTTTAGGGCTTTACAGTCTCTAAAGGACCAGGCAGCCCCTAAAACAGTACCTCAACTAATTGAAGCTGTTCATCAAGCTTATGATGACTTAAGTGCAGAAAAATTGGACAAAGTATGGGTCACCTACCAAACAGTCATGCAAGAAATACTTAAGGTGAAGGGGGGAAATAACTACAAGGTGCCACACATTGGGAAAGATCACCTAGCAGCACAAGGACAACTACCAAGGTCAGTGGTTTTAGACAAAGTAGTGTATGATGATGCAATTGCAGAACTCCAGCTAAGGACAACACATATTGGACCATCTACAGGAGACATTGCTAATAACCTGTTCACTGGTGAAGTTGAGGAGGAGGATCCACACCTTCATCACTGAACAAGGGTCCAGTTCATTATTTTTTGTGTAAATGTTAGGCACCTTACCTCATGCTATACATGTCATTTGTTTTTTTTTTTTGCTTCAGTACACATTTCTGACAGAGGTATAGGGTGTTGTGTGTGCAAGACTGAAATATGTGTTGTAATCAGTCAAACACAAATTTTTGTATGCCTATATTAAAGTGTATTGCTTATTTTATTTCCTATTCCACTTAGCCATGAAAAGTATAGGCTGTGCACCCCAAGACTGTATAAAACTCCACTATTCGAGAATACACTAAAGGCATTCATCATTACCAAACCACACTTAAGTGTAGGAATGTAAGCCGCCATAACCTAGTGGAATTGGGGGTGGCTTACACACCAACACTGCATTGAACTCCATTTACAGAATTAACCATTCATCATTACCAAACCACACTTAAGTGAAGGAATGTAAGTCGTCATAACCCAATGGAATTGGGGGTGGCTTACACACGAACACTGAATTGAACTCCCTTTACAGAATTAGCCATTCATCATTACCAAAACATACATAACAACTAAAGGAAAGCACTCAGAATGCATGTTAAATCCACAAAATAAACAACATACGATTATAAAGAGTACTCCCCTAGGGAAACTGCTTGTCCAAAAGCTTAGGATCCCACTTAGGCATAAACAGCTTCAGCCAGCTATCAAATGAAGCTTTTTGTTCAGGCGGCCACTGATAGTAAGGCGAAGCACCAAGGGTGGGTAACGAGCACAGGTTGCTACAACGCCATCGCCTTCCTCTGTCCCCTCACCTAGCTCTTCTTCATCTGTTCGAAACCCTTGTATCCTTTCCGCCCGAACCCCAAAGATGACTTCCTCCCCTTCATCTTCCTCCTCAACACTGTCATACGTGTCCGAGACATCAGAGTACTCCGCAGCCATCACTGGTTCAACATGCATGGAGAAATTAGTCAGATCTGAGCCTTCGAATACCCTAGATTCGTTGATTTTGACAGACGAATTAGATTGGTTGGGTGCAAAGGGTTGCATGAACAAATCATCAGAAGTATCGGCAACGACGGAGCAAACCTTTGGCTCAGACGAGTCCATGGATATGACAGTGACGGAGGTCGGAGATGAAGCCTCAAAAACCTGACAAGTGTCGTACAGATGAAGATTAGGGTTTGGACAGATTTCATATTCAGCCACACCTGAAGGTTCGAGGGAGAATTCAGATGATTTTTCTCAAGGGTTACACAGAGTGAGATGAGCGGTTGGCTTGAGGAAGGTGGGATGAGAGATGAAGGGTCAGACGAGAGGAAAGGAGAAGCGACGGGTAAAGTGGGAGAGAGGAGAGAGGTACTCCGTATAAGGATGAAATGATGGGTATTTGTGGGTGAGGGTATTTTAGGGAGTATTGGAGTATTAGGTTGCCTAAAATAGAAACGGGACAATTATTTCGGGACGGACCGAAAAGGAAACTGGGACATTTATTTCGGGACGGAGGGAGTAATATTTATTACAGTATCAATTTTTCCATCATTTGCAATGGAGCCAAAGATTTATTATTATTTGGCTTGAGATTATGATGGAATAAAGCAAAATGGCTCACTAAACTGTCTGCGCTTCTTTGTTATGAAGTAGCAGTCAGTCCATGCAATTTTGGACGGGATTTTCACTATGGGTCATCCGGAAACAGTCTCTCTGTGCTTTAATACAGGGGTAAGACTGCGTACATCCGACCCCCCCTTACCCCACTGTAGGTGGGAGCCTTTGCGGCACTGGGGTAAATGAAAATGAAATGAAATGATCAATTTTATCAATGTGGACTTGATTGACTTTTTGGTAAAAGTGCATGAACTTGTTTGACAATTTTCCCAAAAACTAAAGTTTCTGACTACAATGGTGTTTTTTTCCATTTTCACTCCGTGGTTAAACATGGTTGCTGTTTTTTAGATAAATATCTGCCACCCTGTCTCAAGTCTGCTCTATAGAGGATTCCAACTCTTGTACCTATATTTGATTAAATGTTTTCACATAATCGGAGCATTGTGTCAATTGCATTTGTCTTTGCCGGTTAAGAATGATTCTAGTTTGCTATGTGTTATCCAGACTTTATTTATTAGCTCCTTGTGTTGCTTATTATTTGATAACAAAAACATTGCTTATACGTCTAGATTGTAAATTTATGATGACTATTTAATGACTATTTGCTTTGCTATTATGCTAAATTGCTATTATTTAATGACTATTATGGAAATGAGAGTTTATTGTACAATCTCTTGTTCTTTTACATTAGTAAGTCTACTTCTTAGTCATGCTTAATCTAGGGTTTGATTATTGAGGTAGCTTTCTTATTCCATATTTGTATTCACTTACTGTTCAGGTTCTTGAGACTTCTCCTTGTGAACAACCATATGACAGATGTCCTCAAGAACAGCCTTGTGTTAATGACGATAATAGCTCTTCAGGCTATGATGAGGGTATATTGGGTGACTTAAGTGATAATAGTTGGTCTGATGATGATGTGGTATGTTTTTCCATGTTTATAAAATTCTATGGTATTATATATACTAGTCATTCCTAATAACGATCTCATGTCAACCTTTACTACGTCCTTGAATCATTAATGCTATACATTCTTTGTAAAACATGATAAATATGGTGTTGTGAATGCGTCTCATATCAGTAAAATGTAAAATAATAAACCAACTATAAGATCTTGTTGTATTCCTTTTATCAGTTCAATCTTTTTGGATGAAAATCAATATTTAATTTGGTATAAAATTTTGGTGCTTTTGTTGCTTGTTTGTGTTTTTGGCCCACATGGTTTGTGGTAGCCTCATTGGGGTCGGTTTGACTCACATTCACCTTCAATTTGTTCCGGTTTGAGCTGAGTGTTTCAAGTATTTGTCTCACCTCAGATAAATATGAAATAATAAACTAACATATAAGATTTTGGGTTACTTGTTTTATTAGACTAACCTTTTTGAATGGAACCCCAACTCCCAAGTCATAATATAAGATAGGTTACTAATATCCCATCTTTTGTGTGTTGTTTCATTTTTATTGCTTTGGCACAAATGAAACACTTATTCTTACTCAATGTAACATGCCAAATGCATATTTAATATTGAGATGTTATTTATAATGATATTATAGAGATTCTTGCGACTGTTGAGTTTAGCATCAATTTCTCAGTTTACTCTCAAATAGAAGTTACCAATACAGGCTTGACTCATTTTCAATGTGTGATGTTATGAAAAAATTTCATCTAACTCAATAAGCCGATCAGTCGTTGGCAAATGTACCATGATAAAACAAAACGAACTCACTAAAGCTATAGATCAATATCAAACGTGTATAAAAAGATAGGAGTAGTGGAGTATCCAACAATCTAGGGTGTAGTGAGAGAATATGCATAATATAAAGTATAAAACAGAAGAGCAGTTATGGACTGAATATGCAAACTATTAGTTAAAGTTATTGTGGCGGATGGCCTATGCATGCCAGGGGTGCACCATTTCAAACAGTTTTGCTAGTACATTGAGAAAGAAAGCTTTTGGGAACTAGTGCCGAACTGATATGGATGAACTGATTACTATTGCTTTCAGGAAGCCATTGTTTCCTTGCCTAACAGAGAGAGAACACTGTTATCCCTCACAAAGATGGGATATCCTGAAGAAGAGGCTTCCATGGCTATGGAGAGATGTGGTATGCACTATGTAAAAAAAAACCTTTTTATGCTTTGCTATTATATGCATGTATTATAAGAATACCTCAAACAGGAGTACAACATAGGACAAATTCAGAAACAGGGCTACATATTTTAAATTCTCAAAGTAGTAGTTCCTATTTTTTTCTACCCTTCCCCACCTTTTCCCTTTCCCCCTTCCTCCTCCTCCCTCTGTTGATCTAACTTTTCTTCCCCCATCTTATTTTCTCCCTCTTGTTCTCCTTCTCCTACACCACTGCATCCCACTTCATCTCACATCTCCTCCAACACCAACACCGACTGCAGATTATAACGGCAATAACGGCAGCGGCGAGCATGATGAGAAACCCAACACTTTACAAATAAATCCCAATCGGGATTTCTCTAAGGTTTACATACGAAGGGGCAGAAAAGTAAATTAATAGTAATGCAAGGAAGTGGCAGGAGTAACAGCGAGAGTTCTTCTCGTTCCAGAGGTATGTCCAACGATTCCAGATCTGTTTCAATCGCATCTGACCCAGCCGTAATCCATGATCGCATACACACGGGTCGGAAGGTGGATTTACCCCTGTTTAGTGGAAACGATGCCTACGGGTGGATTGTCAAAGTAGAACGGTATTTTAGGCTGAACAGGGTGAATGAGGCGGACAGAGTGGAAATAGTTCTAATAGCCATGTAGCCATGGTGGATAAGGCGCTCAACTGGTATCAGTCGTGGGAGGAAAACACCGCTGATCATTCCTGGGAGAACTTTAAAGGGGCTCTGATCCGTAGGTTTCAACCAGATCTGGTCCAGGATCCCTTTGGCCCAATGCTTAGCATTAAACAAACCGGGTCAATAATGGAGTACAGGGATCTGTTTGAGTCGGTGGTGGCACCTCTGAGAAACACTGATCCAGAAGTCTTAAAAGGGGTATTTCTAAATGGAAGGATGGACTGAAGGCAGAATTGAAGCTATACAAATCAAAGGGATTGATTGATCTGATGGATAAGGCCTTGTTGGTAGAAGGAAAGTATGTGGCATGGAAGAAGGATAAGAACATGGAGATTGACAAGCGTGGATGAAAGGACAAGGGGGTCCATTCATCTAAATCTCAGTACGGAGCCACAGAACACCAGAAGTGTTTTTTTTCAACTAAGGTTCCTTTGTTGGTAAAAGGACCTGACCACAGAACAGAAGGGTCAGCTGGATCCAATAAAATTTGGAAGGAAGGACCCAGGTTATCTCAAGCTGACTTTGAGGACAGAACTAGGCGTAGGTTGTGTTTCAAATGTGGGGAAAAATGGAATAAGGAGCATGTGTGCAAGCTAAAAAACTACAAGCTGAGATTGATGGAAGAATCTGATGCATCTGACACAGAAGAAGATCCTAGTCCAGAAACTGAAGAAGTAGAGGGCCATGAAGAGGCAACCCTGATGCATCTGTCCTCTTTGAGCAAAGAGGGAATAAATACTCAAAACACGTTCAAGATTAAAGGGAGTGTGAAGGGGGTGAAGGGGACAGAGCTGTGATAGTACTCATTGACTCCGGAGCAACCAATAATTTTATTTCTCAAACACTTGTACAGGAGCTAGGCTTGAACTATAATGCCAATACCAGATTCCAAGTTGAACTGGGGAATGGAAATTCCATAAACAATGCAGGGAAATGTGAACAACTCCAAATATGGGTGCAAGGCATGGAAATTAATCAAGACTTCTATCTGTTAGACCTTGGTGAAACTGATCTGGTACTTGGTGTGGAATGGCTGGCAACTCTGGGAGAGATAAAGGCAAACTTCCGAGACTTATCCATTAGTTGGATGGAAGGTGGACAAGAGAAGTGTCTAAAAGGGTGTGTAGAATTGAATCAAACTTTGGTTTCTTTGAAAACACTCAAGAAATCATTACGGGATCAGGAGGAGGGCTACTACATCTACTGCCAAAAGATAGAAAAGATTAACGAGGAGGAAGACCCGGGGAAAGAGTGGGAGGAGTTGCTGACAGAATTCCCAGGAGTTTACAAAACACCAACAGATTACCTCCCAAACAATCCTGTGACCATGCAATAAACTTACAGGAAGGAGTTCATATTCCAAATGCAAGACCATACAGGTATCCGCACTATCAAAAGAACGAAATAGAAAAGCTGGTACATGAAATGTTGAATATTGGAATTATTAGACCTAGTACTAGTCCTTACAGCAGTCCAGTACTTATGGTGGAAAAGAAAGAAGGGGGCTGGAGGATATGTGGGGATTACAGGGCTCTAAATAAGATCACGGTACCTGATAAATTCCCCATTCTGGTGATCGAAGAACTGTTGGATGAACTGGGCAAGGCGGAGATTTTTCTAAGCTGGACTTAAAATCTGAGTATCACCAGATAAGGATGAAGGAATCAGACATACCTAAGACTGCTATAAGAACACATGAAAGACATTACGAGTACGTGGTGATGCCCTTTGGGTTGACCAATGCACCATCTACCTTCCAGACATTGATGAATCAGATCTTGAAACCCTATTTGAGGAAGTTCGTCTTGGTGTTTTTGATGATATCTTGATTTACAGCAGAAATGTGGAGGAGCACAAAGGGCATTTAAGGGCAGTATTGCAGCTTCTTTAAGATAATCAATTGTAGGGGTGGGCACAAAATACCGTAACCGCTTAACCGAATAAAAAAACCGAAAAACCGGTGTATTTTTCGGTTAACCGTACCGATTTTGTAAAAAGTCACGGTACGGTTAATTGACCGTTAAGAACAATCGGTTAACCAATAACTAAAATTTCAAATAATATATGTATTGTATCATACGGTGTGATACTGATTTCCTCTATAGTTATGCTCTTGCTTTCCAGTTAGTCCATACTTCGTTGAAGAGTTGAAGATGACCGTACCATTACCAAGAGGATATCTGGATATGCAGGCATCTTTTACGTGGAGCAATATTATGGTCAAGGAGATATTTCTAGATTTTTCTATAGGTGTTATTAATCATTCCCTTATTTATTTAGTAATTATAATTATTCATTCCTTCTTTTACTTTGCTTAGCACCGTACGTATGTATATATGCTTAGATGAATCATGCGAGATGTCCAAAACTATACACATAAAATAATACTCTTCATTTTACTTCTCAATTTATTTATTTTTTTTATCAGTGGAAGTGTTATCATGCCCAATTAAAAAAAATATATGTTCAACATTTACAAACAATTAGAATAATCAAGCCTTTATCTTTTGCTTTTCTGGTTTATTGGTTAACCGATTAGCGGTTAACCGAAAATTTGGTTAACCGATACGCGGTTAACCAATGCTATGATATGGGTACGATATTGAAAATTTAATAACCGGGTATATCGGTTAACCGCAAATTTGGTTAACCAAAATCTGGTTAACCGGCCGTGCCCACCCCTAATCAATTGGTGATCAATAGGAAGAAGTGCAAGTTTGGGCAGAACCAGCTGGTTTACTTAGGGCATATCATCTCGGGCCAAGGAGTATCTGCTGACCCTAGCAAGGTACAAGATATGATGGATTGGCCTATCCCGAAGAATGTGAAAGTATTGAGGGGGTTCTTGGGATTGACGGGCTACTATAGAAGATTCGTGAAGGGCTATAGTAGAATAGCCAAGCCTCTCACTGAGTTGTTGAAAAAAGAGGGGTTCAAATGGTCCATGGAGGCCACCAAAGCTTTTGAAGAATTAAAGAACACCATGATTTCACTGCCAGTGCTAGCTAATCCCGACTTTGACAAACCCTTTATAATAGAAACAGATGCTTCAGGGCAAGGTCTTGGGGCTGTTTTAATACAGGAAGGCAGACCTGTAGCCTACATGAGTAAAGTACTTTCAGCCCGAAACCAAAATAAATCTGTATATGAAATGGAATTGATGGCTATTGTAGTAGCAGTGCAAAAATGGAGACCATACTTGTTGGGAAGACGTTTTGAGGTTCATACGGACCAGAAAAGTCTTAGATTCTTGTCAGAACAAAGAATAATGGGTGAGGAACAACAGAAATGGATTACCAAGCTTTTAGGCTACAACTTCATTATCAAATACAAACTGGGATTGGAAAATAAGGCTGCTGATGCCCTCTCTAGGAAGGGAAGCTACCAAGCTCTTTCAGTGGTCAGTTGCCAAGCTTGGGAAGGGTTGGAAGAAGAATCATTAAAAAATCCCAAGTGTAACCAAATAATTCAAGATCTGGTAATCCAACCGGCGTCTCATCCAGGGTTTGTGTTGAGGAAAGGGATGTTGTATAACAAAGGGAGACTCGTGCTACCTAGAGGATCCCCCAAAATCCCAGAAGTAATGCAAGAATTCCATGATTCAGCCATTGGGGGCCATTCTGGGTATCTCAGAACACTCAAAAGGATTACCAGTGTGTTGTATTGGGAAGGAATGAGGTCTGAAATACAGGAATATGTAAAAAGCTGTGCAGTTTGTCAAAAGAACAAGTATCAGGCTCTAAACCCAGCAGGTCTGCTGCAGCCCTTATCCATTCCTGAGCAAGGTTGGGTTGATGTCAGTATGGATTTTATAGGGGGGTTACCCAAATCGTTGGGCAAATATACAATCTTGGTGGTGGTAGACAGGTTGACTAAATTTGTCCATTTTATTGCATTAGCCCACCCTTATACAGCCAAAGGAATAGCGGAAGTGTTCATTCAAGAGGTTGTAAGGCTACATGGATTTCCAAAATCCATAGTTTCAGACAGGGATACCATATTCTTGAGCTCCTTCTGGACTGAAATGTTCAAGTTAGCGGGCACCAAGCTGAAGTATAGTACAGCATACCACCCCCAAACTGATGGGCAGACAGAGGTGGTAAACAAATGCCTGGAGACTTATTTGAGGTGCTTGACGGCCAGCAAATCGAAACAATGATCTAAATGGTTGGCTTGGGCGGAGTATTGGTACAATACAAATTACCAGGCTTCGCTAAAGACTACTCCTTTCAGAGCTTTGTATGGGCAGGATCCTCCAGCATTGATAACAGGTGATGTGACTCTCACTGCGTTGGAAGAAGTGAATAAACTTACTGCTGAGAGGAATGAGATGATTAGAGAGCTTAAAAACAACTTGGCTACAACGCAGAACAGAATGAGACAACAAGCTAACAAAAACAGAAGGGATGTTCAGTTCGAAGTGGGGGATATGGTGTTCTTGAAGATACAGCCGTACAAGTTGAAAAGCTTAGCAAAAAGATCAATCAGAAATTAAGTCCTAGGTTCTATGGACCTTTTGAAGTAGAAGAAAAGATCAGTTCAGTGGCCTATAAGTTGAAGTTACCAGCTGACTGTGCAGTGCATCCGGTATTCCATGTATCCTTATTAAAGAAGGCTGTAGCTCCTAACATCCCCAGCCAACCATTGCCAAGCTGTTTGTCTGAAGACTGGGAACTGCAAGCTCAACCGGAGAGAGTTTTGAACATCAGAGATGGTGTAGATGGGGGCAAGGAAATACTAGTTCACTGGAAGCAACTGCCGGATTGTGAAGATTCCTGGGAAGACTTGTCATAGTTCCAAAAGATGTTCCCGGAATTCCACCTTGAGGACAAGGTGAGTTTTAAAGGGGGAGGTGATGATGAGAACCCCAACACTTTACAAATAAATCCCAATCGGGATTTCTCTAATGTTTACATACGAAGGGGCAGAAAAGTAAATTAATAGTAAGGCAAGGAAGTGGCAGGAGTAACTAATCGGCTAAGGTGGCGTTGTCAGACAGAAAAGGGAATAAAATGAGCGTGGGAAGCAAGTAAGAGGCAGGCTGGAATTCTCTTGGCTTAGGAGAGAGAGACTGCTCGAAGTGTCTCACCTATCTTTCTTTGTTTTCTGCAATTTTATTCCTCTTTGTTGTCTTTTATTCTCCTAAGAACTCTTCCGGATATTGTAAGGGTGTTTGGTGATACTATACGCTATATTTTCCGGGTGATTTGAGATAGTACTTATCAGAGCATCTCCCCCTCTCTCCCATATTGTGAAAACTACCCGCGAACATCGTCTCACTCTCTTTGCAATTGAAGAGATTACCACGGCAGCTCCATCAAATATAACCATTCTTTTCTTTTTCTTCTTGTTTCCACCATGAAAGTTCAATTTCATTGCCCAGTCACCGCGTCCAATCGCAGATTGACTGTCGCTGCTGTTAGCCAATTTCAGGATAGCAATACTTGGCCAATGGTCGTCGAAATTTGGGATGACAGATTTTGGCCCAGGGTGGTCGGAGTTCATAATGGCAGTATAGTTTCAAGATGACTATGCTTTCTAGATGATTGTATTTGGCCGGCAGTCATCAGAATCTAGGGTGATAATATGGCTTCAAGATAGGGTGTGAGGATAGTAGTATTTGGCCAGAGACTGGCAGCAGCTGTCAGAGACCAGTGGTGGTTCATTTTATTTTAACTTTTCACTGTAGAATTTAAAGTATATAGGTTAGTGTATTTTTTGTCCATCTATACAACATTTACTCTTACAAAACATAATACTCCTAAGTAGGGGAAAAAATTTATGCTTTACTCTTATTTAGGGAGTTCCCTATAATGATTATGGTATGCGGATGGTTGTACTTGACCAGTTCCCTGGACTCTGTTATTCAAAAATGCCCTCTGTCGTATTTGGCATGTTATGTTGCTATTTATCAGTCCCTAACTCGCTCTTCTTTCTTCAGTTATATGTTTAACCATATTTTATAATATTGAATTTGGACTTGATAGAAATATTCAGAATTATTTAAATATATGCATTTATATATACTAGAAGTTAGAAAAAAATATTGTGCTCCCTCCATCCCCATAAAGCTTCACTATTATCTTGTTGGCTTCTTCACAATAAACTTAACCTTTCCCTTTTCAGGAAAGAATGGCATGGATGACATTTTTCTTTCCTTTTTCCTAAAATTTCAACCATACAATTTCACTTCCTTACTGAGAATTCCACCTCCCATTATGAACTTTGAAGTGTTAATAGTTAAGGAGGGTTTAAATAACTTGAGTCCAATGTACTTGTGTATCTAAAGACTAATTTATTAACTGTGATGTTTTGGTGTTTTTGTTTCCATCAATGCACTAGTGATTCTTTCTGGGTGTTTCTTTTTATCTAATGTGTGTTTCACTGTTTCGTTTTAATAGTTGTTGTTCATTATATGAAACTAATTAATCTATTCACGTAAATTTTAGGGCCAGGAGCCACAATTGCGGAATTGACAGATTTCATATGTGCTGCTGAAATGGCAAGATCAGAAGCTACATATTGGCAAGAAGATGATATCAAAGTATGTTTCTTTATAATGTTCAACCAAGAATCAAGTAATTTTTTTAGTTTTTTCTTTTTAACTTCTTCAGTCCTTCGAATGAAATGGTGTGTCGTGGTACTTATACGTAACTGGCTATTCATCCTTATTATTGTTGTTGCAGCCAAAAATCAAGAGTTTATCAGGTGAGAACAGTAAACATAAGAGGAAACTTTACGCATATGAGATGTATAAGAAGAAAAAACAGAGGGGTATGTTCGATGAAGAGGTTGAGACAATTCGGCTGCCAAAACCAATGGTGGGATTTGGTGTGCCCACAGAGATATGCCCAGTGTTTCAAGGGAGAACTCTTCCAGAGCAGGCAGTTGGCCCTCCCTACTTCTACTATGAGAATGTTGCACTAGCTCCCAAAGGTGTCTGGGACACTATCTCTAGATTTCTCTATGAAGTGGAACCTGAGTTTGTAGACTCGAAGTACTTTTGTGCTGCTGCAAGGAAAAGGGGGTATATTCATAACCTACCCGTTGAGAATCGGTTCCCTCTCCTTCCCATTCCACCACGCACCATACATGAAGCCTTGCCGTTAACCAAGAAGTGGTGGCCCTCATGGGATCAGCGCACCAAGCTCAATTGCTTACAAACTGCTATCGGCAGTGCTCGGCTGTCCGATCGAATTCGCAAGGCTGTCGAAGCCTATGATGGGGAGCCGCCTTCGAAGGTGCAAAAGTATGTGCTTGATGAGTGTAGGAAATGGAATCTAGTGTGGGTGGGAAGAAACAAGGTAGCCCCTCTTGAGCCAGATGAGATTGAATACCTTCTTGGCTTCCCAAAGAACCACACGAGAGGTGGTGGGATAAGCAGGACTGACAGATACAAATCTCTTGGAAACTCATTCCAAGTCAGTATCCATTCCTTCATCTACTCCTCTAAGATTTATACATACACAGTAACATAAAAGGAGATATAGGACTTAGTTTATATTCCCCTTAGTCCCTTACGATGTACAATAAGTATAGTTGTGAATGTTAACGTATTGAGCATGCACCTCGATGTTTTTCAATTAATATGGTCCCCACTTTTAAATCATTATCACATATATTTTTTAAATCAACTAAGGGCTGTATCTCCCTTTATGTTAATCTGTCTCTAAATCTTCCTCAACCATCATCTATGATTTTTTGGATCGTTCCCACCTACCATTACCACAGATAAAATGGATTCATATTTTACTCTTGGATGATTTTAGCAAATAATCCTGATAGGAACCGGTAAAATTGGGCGTATATAGAGAAAGAAGAGAACGGAAAAGAAAGAGATACAGGCGAGACACTTCGAGCACTCCCCTCTCCCAAGTCTAATTCCCAAATTTCTGCCTGCCTTCTTCTTACTCCCTACCTTTTATTTATACCCTTACTTATGGGCCGCCCAAAGTTAACTAATACCAGGCCCAGGACCCTCTAATACACTATCACAAAATATTATTATTATAATAATATTCTAATTATTATTTTCTTCAGCCTAGAGTCCTATCGTATCTCCCCCCTTGAACAACCACCTTGTCCTCAAGGTGGGTGATAGGAAATAGCCTTGACCTTCCGCTTCATCTTTATCCTTGTGCCTCTCCCTTCCCAATACCTCACTGATTTCTGAGCGGGGAGCTTCAGCACTTGATCTTTCCAATTGACATATGTTTCTGCAGCATAGGATCTATCTGGTGAAGTTTCATTCTCTTCATTAACCTTCAAGCCTTCATTAGCCACAAAATATTCCTTGCTTTCTTGAGGCTCCTCCGAGGTTCTCTCTTCTGAAACTATCAGTGTGCTGGATGCAGGTTTGAGGTAGCTCAACTCATGGTCTGCAAACAGCCCCATGCAAACTTCTCCAATTACCATCCACTTTTCTGTACGGCAGTTTTGGTCACTGTCCAAGTGTGTTTCCAACACATGAACCCCATAACAGACCCCTTTCCCACAAGTCATTAGCATAGGCCCCCCTGTACCCTTGAACCTCCAAACTAAGATGCCTTTACTTCTTAGAAACCGAGCTCTCCCTTCTACTGTGGTTTCCCATGAGTCACTGATGCGTGTGACACCAGGACCCCCATATAAGGTTTATATGGACGAGGTCCCAACCTTGCTTCATATGGTTTATATAGAGTCCCATATAAGGTTGTATTCCCCTGTGGTGCTTTGACTGGCGTTATCTCTGGCTTTTCCAGTTGGAACCTTTTGAGCATTGGAATAATCATTGGGGTTGGTTGCTCATGCAAATGTATGCTGAAGTTTCCATCAGGCAAGGCAAAAACTGGGATTTTGGGAGGTGAAAGCAATGAATCAAACATGTCAACAATCATATGCATCTGATGGTCAAGCACAACCAACTGTTTTCCCATCCCCTGTGTCAATATTAGCAGTATTTCTGGAGTAAAGTTCATTACAGGGAACTGTTTAGAACAATCAAGGTGAGACTCCAAGGGGCTGTCAAATGTGCCAGTGAAGTACCTAACCCCAGCAGCTTCCTTTATTCCTACCCCTTGCTCAATCACCCCATGACCATGAGTTGAAACATCCAGGCAGTCTGCATTAGAATCCTGCTGATACAAATGAACAATCTGTCTCTTTCGGGCATCATATTTCCACATAGACACAGAATCATATTCCTTCCCCAAAAACATGTAATGAGTGCCACAGATAGCAGAGGATGTGGGTAGGCTTGACTTCCTTTTTAATATAGAAGATAAGTGTTTGTTCTCCAGCTCCCACTTCCCTCCCATAACTTTCAGCCTACCATTTGTGGTCCCAATGGCTGAGAACTGTTGACCAAGGTAACAAACCCGATTATATGCAGTGAGTTTCTCATCAAAGGAAGCCTGCCCACTACTTGCAAGGGCACTTGCTACCCCACACAATCTTCCTATCTCAAAATCATTAAGTAATAGGTTTGGATTTATACCGGTAAGATCAACACCAATGAATAAGAAATTTTTATCTGTTTCCGCAGCTGAAACTCCGCCTGGAGATATGGCATGGATGTCACCATTCACCCCATGCTGATTAATAGCAATCCCAGGTGGGACCTTAACAAAAAACGCTCTGCGGTTATCTATCTTTTTCCCTGAATGTATCATGTTTGTTGGTCCCTGAGTAATAGTTACCCTTTCACGCCAGACATCGATTGAAGGAGAGCTGGAATCAGGATCAGCGTGGTCTGCATCTTTCTTCCAGTAAACCAAAAATGCATACATCTTCATAATGTTTTTCTCTCCTACCTTCTGCGGTTCCTCTATTTGTGCAGTCCATGCCCCAAATTCTACAGAATTGGTTCTCACAAGGTTCTCTAATAGTCCATCTTCATGAGATACTACAGAATCATCTACTGGCCAATGCATTGTGGCAGTATCATGTTTAATATCTGATTGTATTCCATTTTCTAGGATACCGATGAATGCTGCATCTCTTGCTTTGCTATTAATTTCCTTAATAGCGGCAGTATACGAGGTATTGAGAATCATCTACTTGTCCAGTGTCAGTAATGATTTTCTGCCAAGCACGGTTTGTGAAATTAGCTGCATCTATTTTTGTAGAAATAACTTGAGAAAGTAAAATGTATTTTATTTCTCTTATTCTGTGTAATACAATGAGATGAATACAGAATATATATAGCTAGAGAAAAGTGGAATAAGGAAGGAATCCTCCTAATTAAGATTCCTTAATAAAGACAAGATAATTGGGGATATTTAGAGATTCTGAGATCTCTAAGATATCTCCTCATAAATGCTAAATCGGATGAGTAATTATCTGTAATAATCTACAATTTTAGAACCTTGAGTTCTAGCCACAAGAGCTGCAGATGTAACAGGGTCTCCAATACTAGTAGGTGACTCTGTATAATCCGTACCTATAAAGTTTTCAGGAATCACTTGGTTCTCCAATTCATAACCAGCAATTTTATCAACGGCAGATTCATATACCTTGGAAATCCAGGATTGAGTCACCACAGAAAATTTCTCCTCTCGTTCCTCGTCACCAATGGTGAACGTATCTTCTGGAACTCTGGTTCTAGGTTTGAATCACTAGCTTCTTCTGGAACTCTGGTTCTAGGTTTCCGCTTATAGGTATTCTTGTAGAATGGGGAATTTTGATTTAGTGTAGGATTTTGGGGTAATGATTGGGGTGATAAAGTTGGTGGCTGAAATGGTGTGGTTGGTGGAGAGACTGTATTGTCTGGAGGGTTTGATTCAGGTCTGTCTGGGAGTATGGATTCAGTGTGGTTAGATTCAGATTCTTGGAGGTCTGGAATAGTGTCTGAAATAGGATTCAAAGACTGGATTTCATTGTGGTTCTCCCCCTGAAATTCAGTTTTGGAATAGAAAGGCTGATTTTCAAAAAGGTTACATCCATTGTGATGTAGACCTTTTTGTTGGCAGGAGAATAACATTTATATCCTTTCTGGTTGGCAGCATATCCTATGAATATACAAGGTAAGGATTTAGGATCCAGTTTTGACCTAACTGGAGAATGGTTGTGAACAAATGCTTTGCAACCAAAGACCTTTGGTGGAAGATTGGTAATAGGGATGTGAGGATGTAGATAAGTAGGATTTGGTATGGTGTTTTAAATTTGTGAGTTTTGGAGGGCATCCTATTTATCAGGTAAGCTGCAGTTAGGACAGCCTCTCCCCAGTAGTGTTTAGGAGTGTGAGTGGTGAACATAAGGGCTCTAGCAACTTCCAGTAAGTGTCTATTCTTCCTTTCTGCCACCCCATTCTGTTGTGGGGTGTCAACACAGGAGCTAATGTGTATAATCCCCCTTTTTGACAGAAACTCTCCTAAATTGGATGAGAAATATTCTTTGGCATTATCAGTTTTAAAAACCTGAATCTTGGTTTGAAACTGAGTTTTGATCATAGAATAGAATTTTTGAAAGATAATATTGACTTCTGACTTATCTTTCATGAGGAAGACCCAGGATAGACGTGTATGATCATCAATAAACAAAACAAACCACCTTGAGCCAGTGAGATTTTTGACCTTAGATGGGCCCCAAACATCACTGTGGATGAGAGAAAAAGGTTTAGATGGTTTGTAAGGTAGACTGGGATAGTGACTTTTAGTATGTTTAGCAAGTTGACAAAATTCACAATCAAAGGCAGAACTTTTATTTATGAATAATGAAGGAAATATTTTTTCTAAGTACAAGACATTAGGATGACCAAGACGATAATGCCATAACTGAATTTGAGTATCAAATTGACTCCTACTAAGACTCCCTAAGAACTTATGGTTGAATTGACTCTCACCGGAAGTTGTCTTGTTGGTGGAGTTGGGTGAATGTGGTGAATGTTCCAGAAGATAGAGTCCACCACTTTGCTTAGCACTGCCAATCATCCTCCCCGAATCCAAATCCTGAAATTCACACAATTGTGAAGAGAATTTAGTTAGGCAATGTGTATCACTATTCAGTTTACTGACTGATAAGAGGTTAAACTTTAAATCTGGAACATATAACACATTGTTAAGCACTATCTTGTCAGAAATTTTGACTCTTCCAGTCCCTTTTATTGCTGAAGTAGTTCCATCAGCAATCTTCACAGTTACCTTATTCTTCATAGGGATCAATTCAGCAAAAAACTTACTGTCTCCAGTCATGTGATCTGATGCCCCTGAATCAACAATCCAATAGGGCTGATTGTGTGCAACTAGGGTTGTTAGGGCATTACCTGTCTGAGCAGTAAGGCTAGTTGATGGTGCAGGCCCCTTGCTCTGACTTATTAGATGTTGAAGAACCTCAATCTGCACATTGGTAAATGCAGCAAGATTAGAAGTGCCCATATCTTCTTTATCTCCAGTAGCTACATAGGCTCCTTTCCCTTTGCTTGGTTTGAAATCTTTAGGTTTAC